GTCTGATGTGCCATCCACCGTGAATCAGCCTGTATGTATTGTAATCAAATAAGTTAATAGATTGATAATTGAAAAATATTTATTGAAACAATAAAAAAATAAGTATGGTTCAAAAAAAATAGATTGTAAATACTTTCTGAATATCAGTCTTGTTAACTAGCGAAGAAAAGTTGATTTAAGTTGAATAAAAAAAAAGAGTTCAGAAATTCACTGGAAATAGACATTGTAATAAAAGATAAGGGGCAAACAGGCCACGAATAATAACCCTGTTTCATTTTGAAATAGATTTGCAGTTAGTTTGCAGTGCTACTGGCTCATGTAATGATTGAAAAGGGTAACTACTCATATTCTTTTAAATACTTTTTTTGTAGAGGTGCCAACATTTCTTACTGTTTTTTGGGTGTTTAACCTTCGAAACTCTGAAANATTCGATTTTGTTTATATGGATATTGTATATGGGTGACCATGTAAAGAAAAGAGTTAAAAAACTTTCAATGCTGCGAACGTTCTTATGATAGATGAGACCTAGCATCCGTTTGGCTGAGCATGTTATTGTGTCATAGTGTATGAAGAAACTCAGTTTAGGGTCAAATGTGACACCAAGATCCCTTTGATGAGTGCTTTTTTGAAGAGGTGTGTTATTTATGCAGTAATCATGAGAAATAACATTATGTTTGTGTTGAGAGGAAGATTATTTTTGGCACACCAAAGGTACAAATCAAGGTCTTTTTGTAAGATCAAGCAGTCCTCCTCTAATGTAATGGGACGAAAGATTTTCAAATCATCTGCAAAGAGTAAGAAGTTACTAGAGATATTATTTCCTATGTCGTTAATGAAGACTAAGAATAAAAGAGGTGCTAAATTGCTTCCTTGAGGGGCACCACTGTTAGCAATAAATTGGAACAACATGTGAAAGATACCGGCAGAAACAGATTCTTTATTTTAGGTTTCTGGAACATGCAATTTCTTTTAGGAATTTCGTTTGAATTTGGAATTTGTTCATAATTTGAGGTCAATACCAGCTCAATTTCCTCAAACAACAACTCGTATTTTTAATTACTGATTGATTCTTGATTTAACCTTGCGAGAGCTGAAATGTGGCCTGGACAAAGAAGTTTGAGTTTTTTTAAAACCTCTGGAAATGGTACAAAGTGGAAAAATCCCGCTGGAAATAGAGGTGTAAATTTCAACACATATTTTCAGTTACATATTTGGTGAAAGGGTGGTATGTAAAGATAATGAGAATTGCTTCTATTCGAGGAAATATCAGAATATTGACTTTGAAGTTCTCACAACATGGGTGTGCTGATTGAGATAGGACTCCTTCCGACTACAGTGCGGGCAAGTAGCCCCCCTCTTCCTAACTTTTGAATGGAACATAATATCAAGGTCGGACCAAATTTACGTAAAAAGGTATTTTTAGTACGTTTTGATATGAAAGACAATATTTTTGCAATACTCGTCGCCCAGAAGGCGATCTGCCTTTTTTTGTAAAAACAAAGAAGGTCTTGCGATAACTCGTTTAATAAGTAATTGAATTCTCTATCCGAATCAGCCGTTCCTGAGTAATTAGTATCAGTTTTATATTCGTTTCAAGAGTCTACAAACAAATGATAAATATGATAATTTTGAGAAAAAATTTATTCTAACCTCACCTCAGTTCATTTCAGTAAACGTTCAAATTGGCCACCCTTCACTTCCTGGTAATAATAAAGTTTGTTCAGCAATTCATTATGGAGTATTTCTTCGATAATTTCGTTAGTAGCACGTTTTATTCCTCATAAAAATCTAAGGGTGTCATATCAGGTAATGCAGCGGGTCAATATAAGGGACCACTTTGAACATTTTCAAAACCGTTAGACAAACTTGATCCCACTAGATCACCCGATATGACACCTTCAGAGGTTTTCTAGGAAATATGGACATCTGAAGTGTACGATACACAACCGAAATTCATTTCAGAATTCGTGGATAGAAAAAAGAGGTGCTTGCAACGATATTACACCAGTAACAATTCATAAATTATGAACAAACAGTTAAGATTCTTATTTCCGTTTTCAACCTCTCTCGTTATCTGCTAAAAGAATATATGCGAATTCTTTTCTGTTTTTTTTTCATGAGATTCTTTGGTGATATTTTTGTTTCGCACCATTCTATAGCGTAATTACCAGCTGATTTTAGAATATGCTCAGCTATGCGTGCGCTCATATAAAAACGAAATTTAAGGTTATTATAGAATATTTCGTGGTAAATTACTTATAACCAACTACAAAAACTAAAAACAATAATAACAACAGCGAATAAACCAAACATATAATCTCACCGACGTTTCGACAATGTCTCATTTATCATCATCTGGATATTACTGTTAAGTGTTCGGAAGTCGGTTGACCTTACTCGATATGCTCCCTACATACTGGTAAAATGATGTTTGGTACGTGTTCGGAAGTAGACTGTTCTTACACACTCTACTACCTACTATAAATATTGTTGTTGGCTTTTACCTGAGTTCTTCTTCTTGATTAACCTCTTCTTCCCGTAAAGGTTTGAAATGGTAAATCTGAAGTTCTCGCGGATAGGAATATGCTAGAAAGAAACAGTAGGAACTTAGCATTTCCGAAATTTTTATTTTTCTGCAATCATAGCAGCTGCACCAGTGGAATTAGACGTAGCGGTAAGGCGTGAAGCTGCAACTGTATCCACGCAGGTGAAGTCCCAAACCAGAGGTTTTCCAAATTTCCAAGGAATTACACTCATCCCGTCTTGACGCTTTCCATCATGTCAACTAACACCAAGGGGTTCAAGAACTGAAGGAACCTCTGCAGTTGCTAGAGCTCTTTTTATAAGATCATTAATGGAATGATGCTTTGAAAATCTGTCAGAACTAAATTTACAACTTAGGCCATGGTAACCATTTTCTTCTTCAGTGGATCCACATCTGCATTTATGACTAACCACCCAAATTGAAGAACCTAACCGAAGACCTATCGAAATTCTGAAAGATGCATCATCTAAGAGGGTACCCAAAGAAGCCACGGGAAGAGCATTCAGCCAGGCACCAGATTCTTTGGAAAGAATGGAGTTGATCAAATGACGAGAACTGTTATGAGAGGAAAGAAATGCTGGCAGTGAGAGGGATGAGGTTAATCGAATACCTAAACCACCAGAGTTAACTGGGAGAGTAGCTTGACTCCAAGTGATATCTTCGAATTTATTATTGGTATTTTTTTTAAATTGGTGTAAGGTGGAATCGAATGCAGTTGGACTGCATCTCAAGGCATACAATAATGTGGGGTTTGCCAAACAGTATTTCAATAGAAAATATGCTATATGGGAGAAAGACTATTGAGACGAGATGACAGTAGAATTAGAGACTCTGTTTTCTGTGTGAGGCAACGTGATAAAGACTCTACAGAGGAAGGAACTCTCTGTGCGGATATTAACTAATGTAACCCAAATACAGGCAAATTCACCTACAGTACCTGAAGTACCTGCACTAAGGCGTTCTGACCGCATAAAAGAACAAATCTGAAATTAGGGCAATGCATGATCTCATCAAAATTATGTGAAGGAGAAATAGTTCCAAGTACTGAAGCAGCATTGCCACGTTTAATAACAATACTAATTCTTTCTATCAAAAAAGAGGTAGAACGGTGATCTTTCGTTGCTTGGCCTATTCTCCTTCCGAGTTCATGAACGAATAACAGATACTCCGGGCCATAAACACCAATAGTTTCAACCGCTACTAGATGGAACAGATAGTTGTTACCAAGATTTTGGTATTTAATTCGTTTTAATTTTTCGCCAGACAATGCTGCAGTTCCAGCAGAGCTTGAACTTTCGGCTAGATGGGAAGCCGCGATCGTGGCAACGCAAGTGAAGTCCCATACCACAGGTTTATGGTAAGAAGTATCGAGTCCCCCACAAAAAAATGTCTTTCAAAGAATACTATCGCTTCTCCTATCGAAAAGTATTGTAAATGATATGTTTTTACGTGAATTTTGTCTGTCCTTGGTATCTTGTTCCGTTCAAAAATTAGGGGAGGGGGAACTATTCACGTTCGACTTGTAAGAATATCGTGCCTTTGAGCATTGGGTATCGGTGATCAACACAGTCAAATGCTTTTGAGATAACTTCTTGTAGAAAAAAGAATACCGGGATCCGATTTTTTTCGATTTCAAAAATCTGCGCGCTCACAGCGATTGCGACTGCCGCAACACGCAACACGGCGCTTTTCGCTTTCCAGTTTCTTTTCCCACCTCGACCGTGACTACTCGCAACCCCGGCGTTGACGTGATCACCGGCGGGATGCTGTGCCCTTCTCCGATGGAGCATGGAGCTGCCGCGGATCGCATCTCAAACGTCCATCTGCCCGCCCAGCATTCCAGGGATCCAGCTGCTGACGGAGTATCAGAAGCCGAGGGAGTCGGCCAGCAAGAAGCTGCTGAGCGCCTCCAAGCAACCAGCTGAACCCCAGTTTGCTGTTCTTCCTTCGGCGCCTGCATTCCAAGTGAGTATTTGTAGGGTTACTGGAGGTTGGCCCCAGCTACAGGCTATATTTTAATCAACAATCTGTTTTGTGAAGAATTTCAGTGAGTGAAATTGAAATACTGAAATTTAATTAAAAAACAAACACATAGCTGCATACAGACGTATACAGTGTGAAAACCAATCAGCATCTTCTTAACAGTAAAATATTTTTTTAAATCCTTCGATAACTCAATTTTTATTTTTGAAAAATCTATATTTCACATAAAATTTTTCAACGCCCTTTCTACCTACTGACTTACCGACCATCCCTTTTGAAATTTTGTAATTGAAAGTGGAGTTAAGTTGTCCTTTTCTCTTAAATTCCAAAATGTATGAATTACAATTTCAGACTGAGTGGTCAGTGCTATATAAGTCATTTTTACATAAAAAATATTTTGCAATAAGAATTCAAACCATTACACTGATTCCTAAAATAAAAGAGAGAAAAAAGAAAAAACCATCCATGATATTTTAAATTTTATTTAAGACGCGTTTAGCGACACGGTACGTAAAACTATTCTTCAATGTCTTTTACATAAAAGTACAGTTGAAAAAACAATTAAAATACAATATCTCTTCTAGGACAACAGTTAGTTTATTCAATATGTTAATTACTGACTTTTATGGAAACAAGTTTCATAATGACGAGTGAATAACTTCTTGTTGGTCGTTTAAAAAAATGTAATGCTTGCATTCAAAGTGTGCTCCTTCTACCTACTTCTTGACAACACCCTAGCCCGAAATTAACTTCACTTTTGGCGTTTTCGAAAATTTGTGAAGTGATGGCCCTTTGCAGAAATAAAAAATTTATAGTTTCAGTTAGATGGTTGTTCTGTACATAATGAAAGCATCATGAACAATTGGTTAAATCAAAATTACCCTAATCGCTGGCTATGATGGGGTAGTATATTATTTGGATGACCACCCAGATCGCCTGACACAACTCCACTCGATTTTTTCATGAAGAACTATCCTTAACAAATTGTTCACGGATCCTCCATTCTTTTGCGCATGTTCTAATACTTTGAAATTAATTGCAAAAGTCGAAACAAAATTCATTTTATCTTTGATGTTAAAATTTCTGTTATAATCATGATTTAAAATTCTCTTCGATTCAATGCTGTTACCAACTTTAATCGAAACTGAATCTTTCTTTAAGTTGTCTTGCTATGGAATATTAACTTCCTGACAATGGGAAATGTTCCTCCTGACGAAAATCAAGTAGTTTTCATAAAAGAGCTCTAAAACAACGCATTTTAAACTTATCATTTCACCCTTTTTCTTTAAAAAATTATTTAAATACTCAAAAAAGAGAAATGAAAGAATGCATTCAACATTTAAAGGGATTCGT